CGTTAACGAAGATTCTTATAACGAAGTCCTGATCGGCTGGATCGGCAACTTCGTTATATCGAGGTGTGACTGTATATAAATTATAAAGAAGTTATTTAATACTTTGTAACATTTATAGAAGTGTGATTATATAGAATAGTAATATCATATCTTTTTTTATTACTAAACGATTGAAATTGAATGTTACATAATATAAAAAAAGATCAATATTTGAAAGACAATCAGTAGAAAAAGGAAATTCTACCTTTTAGTTAATATCTTTTATTAGTTCACTTTGCTGATTATAGTCATATAAATAAAATTAGCTTAATAACTAAAATTATTAAAAATTTTTAAAATTTGTAGATTTTCTCTTTTCTATTGACTGTTTCTCATTTGATTTATTACCTTCTAATGAACTGAATATCTATTATATTATATAATACTTTTATAATTTTTCATGATTTATTATATAATCATGACTATAATTATATGACAATTAATTTTCTTTTAATCTGCATTTTGAATAATAGTAGTTTATATTTATTTAATCAAATATATTTAATAATTAATTTCCTTCTTTTAATAAGAATAGTTTTTATTAAAAAAAAGTCTGTGACTGAAGAAAACTGTCAAAAGTTAGCAATAACAAATTACTATACAGTAGTAACTATCTAACTTTATTATATATAAGTTATTAAAGTTGTTTAGCAGATAAGGTATCTACAACAGAAAAAAACTGTCAAAAGTTAGCAATGGCAAATCATTGTGCAGTAGTAACTGATTTTATTTGAAAAACAACTTATTTTAATATTACTTTATTATATTTTTCAATAAGATATTAAACTTTTTTTATTTATTAACAAAATGTGAATAAAAATCTCAATATAATAATATATCTATATAAGAATATAATGTTAACTAAATATTAAATTACTCTAATCTAATTCTAATTGATGTAATAGGACTGATATTTCTTTATATATCAAGTATGAACTAACATCTTATTTAAACTTGTCTTCTTTAATAATACCTAATAACTGTTCTTTTTTGATCATTAAATTATAATAGTGTTTACAAACCTCTTCAAAAAAATTGTTATAAAATAATAAGATTATTTATGTAATAATAAATAGATAGCAATTCTTATTTCTAATAATTTTATAAATAATATCGATAAGCAAAAAAGAAATATGTATTATCTAGTATAATTCAGTATAACAAGATTTTTTTATATGAAACAATCTGTACTACATTAAAGATTTGTTATATTGTAAAATTCGTTATATTAAAATTCATTATAAAAAGAGTTGACTGTACTTTAACTTTAAAATTTAAAATAAAAGCTATAAAACTTAAGATTTATAGATTATGATTTTATTATAAATATGATAAAAATCATGATTAATATTTTTATTATTTTTAATAAAATATTTTTTTCATCAAGAAAAAGGAGCTCTTAATTCAAAAAGCTAAATCAATTACACAATCAAGATCATAAATTCATTAATGAGATGTTGATGGCTATAACAAACTATTTGGTAGTAAAATATGTAAAGCAAACATGCTCAATTTTATAAATATGATCTCATTTCTTTTTATTAATACTTATTAGCGAAGTCTGAAGTCTTAAATTTAATAAGAGCATCTATTTTATTTTATCTAACTTTGACTGCTTATTTGAATGATGCATTTTCAATTTGCATTAACAAAAGTTGAAGTAGAAGCATTTGAATCAGATTTAAAAATGTATTTTTGCTTTTTAGTTGTTTTATGTAATAATACTAATCATTTTAATTTATTTTTGCAAGCTATATAAAAAAAAAATCATGAAAATGGAGCTCAAAATGAATTTTTATCATGGATTTCCTCTATGGTATGATATTTTGCTAAAGGGCTCGCCATAAAGCAGGGGTTTCAGATGCTTGCAATTCGATTTGCAAGTTATGAATTAGTGACGCCATTAACTTTTAAGTTTTTGATTTCCTTTGATAGTCCAGTTTATAATATTAAACATAACAAAACATACTGTAAATGAATATATAGAATTTAATGCTTAGTTTTTCATTGCCAAATAAATAAGTACATAATGCAGGAGGAGTTCGGTTTTGAAGTTATATTCAAATAATAAATAAGTATCGCGTCGGAGTTTTCGGCAAAAGAATTTTTTTTTTTAATGAGATCGATATTTACAGTATTGAAAAAAAAAAAGAAAAAGGAAAAAGAAAGGAAAATAATTTTGAAAGACAGTTGTTCGAATTATCTCTGCTGAGTAATAAACGCATAATATTACAAAACGAAATAATGAAAAAGTTGGATAATTCCCAAATAGAGTTTTATGCATGATTGTAAATTCGTGCACTAATAATAATAAAAAAAATGTAAATAGATATATATCCCTTCCATTCACCGAGCTAAAAATAAAAGAATATATATCTCTCTTTCCAAATTGAATGACCATTTATTTAATTTACCAACCACAATTCTTCTCGAAATCATCTAGTTCCGCATTAAGGTTCCAATCACAAGAATCACTTTCTTCTTTGTCACAATATAAGCCACCAAGCTCATCCTCATATTCATCCAGTGTATCAGATAACTCATCACCTTCAATATAAAGTAAATCTACATAGCGATGCCTGATCAAAAGAGTTAAATTCACCTCCTTAAAATTTTTACAATATGAAAAGAGTTGCATTGCATTGTATGTTTCAGCCCATTTCTTAACCTCAAGAACGTTTTGAGCTTTAATTAAATCACTCTTAACGATCTGATGTTCAATAAGCCTTTTCAATTCTTGCAAGTCATACTTTTCACAAGCATTTAATAAATCAATATAGATTTCCAAATAAAAGGATATCTTATCAGCCAACGGTGGCATCTTGATATCTAATAGCGCGTCTTCAAGACTTCTGCCGTACAACCATTTCAGCATAACGCGGAATGCCTCAGGTCCTATATCATCAATGTTAACATGGACCGATTCTCGCGGGTTAGATTCCCTCGTTCCCGAGGTGAACATTCTTTCAAAGTAATTAGCTGAAGCTGCCAACACGTAGCGACTAGACCCGATCACTTCACCACGAATGTGAAAGAAAATATCATGGAACCTTTGTATTCCATCCTTGTAGGATGAATTAGATTGTTCGTCCAAGAATCTGGCAAATGATATTGCAATCTTATCCCGTTGTGAATATGCACCGGGAATTTCCATGTCTATCTGTGGACTTTTCATTTCTTGCACTCCACAAATTCGAAGTAACCTTTTAAAAGGTACTAGATGAACGTTCACCGCCCTATTCTTTGAATTGATATCTTCATCAATGTTCAATACCAACTGTTTCGCAGATACCCAATTATAGGGATCAAATACGTCCTCGCCATTGAGAAAGATGTTAGGATCTTCCTTCAATTTTAAATTTAAATATGTTTGTACCATTGGATCCTGATCCAAATGTTGATATATTTGAAGAAAGACTGTATGAAGTAATTCTGATAATCCGGAAGATTTCCACTCTGATACATCTGCTCTTACAATGTCCCTTATGGTATAAAGATGATCTACAACAACTTGAGTTTCAACTTCGCTCAATTCAGGGAATATATTGTTGACGGTGTATTGTGGTAAAACATCATCATCATAAATTGGACATTGTGTCCAACAAATATTTTTAAATTTGGGCAAACGAAGTGAACTAAAACTATGCAATTCAGGGACCCTTGAATATGCCGTTTCAAGGAAAGGAGGATCAACAGGTTTCGAGGTAACAAACTTAATCTGAGAAATTTTTTCCCAACCTTCACCGGTTAAACCTAAATCAGTTAGGTGATAGTAAAAATGACGGACCACCAATTTTGCACGTTCATGCAAATTCCCTGGAGGCAAAGGCATACGCGATAAATTCTCGATTTCTTCCGCAACACGGATAAATGATTTTCCGTCCGTTACACTATTAAGCCCCAATTTCATGAGACCATCTAGAACCCATCCGCTTCTAAGTTCCACTGGAAGGAATCGATCGGATCCTGCAAATACCTCCCTAAATAATTCTTCACAAGGGTCATATAACTCGCTAGCCCTCATCAACTTTGTGTAAGATTCATTGGGAATAATACTAAAACGCTCAAGAGATTCAGGGATCATATACAATGGAAGTCTCAATAAACTACTAATGAATTTCATATACTTTGGGTCCGACGGATTAACACACTTGATGTGATAACACACGCCAGTAATAAAAGTATTTAAACTTATAACAGGAACGTTCAACATATTCAAGGCTAACCACCCTTCTTCTGATTCGACGTCAAAATAATTACCGTCTGCTCCTAATGGTGAATAAAATTCGAGACCTTTAGGAAGCAAGCATCCGTTTTTAGGAGATTCGTAAGGTTTCTCTTTAGAATGAGTAGGCCAAATTGGTAATTGTCGTAGTATATCGTAAAACTCTTTTTGTACTTTAAATTGTGAATAAAAATTAAAAAATTTTCATTGAATTTACTTACCATTTTCGACCCTATAAATCCTAAAATGAATTAAAAAAAAAAAAATAATTTTACCTTTTCTTCGTGTGTATACAAATTCGAACCAATTATCCATTATAAATTTCCTAAACGATTCTCTATTCTCCGAATCCAGAGGTTTAAGAAATCTTTCCATTGATAAATCCTTAAATTTTCGTAATTTCTCGATAATCCGCAACACGTTCTGTGGATTCCAGTCAAGGATATACGGTTTTAATTGTTCAGTTTTACGAAAGTCCGTAAAGTGAACGCCAATTTTTTCAAGAACAACTGCCATAGGCTCATAGTTAAAGTTAAAAGGATGGCGAATCAATGGATTTGATGAATTTAAAGCAAGAAGGTGATGTTTAGAAACAATATCAGGAGGAGCAGGTTTGACAGCGGGAAGAAGAGGATAATTATCAAATGATTTTAAATCACAATTAAAATCTAAGATACGGTCCCAAATTGCTTTTAACCAATGTCTATTGGGAATGGATTGAGAATCGGGATCCCATTCTAAACTTGGTCGTTTAGACAATTCATGTTTCAGAATTTTCTTAAAACCATTTAAATCAAAAAAATGAATCTTGTTGGCTTTTTGAAAATCCTCATTCAAAAAGATCTCTTTCATATCTTGGTCTATAGTATCGTCGACGAATACATTGGGACCATATTTTGGGAATAACCTTCGTTCCGAACAATTTGCAAGATAGTACTTTTTATCACCAAAGGCTGCATGCGATTCATTTAAAACAGGTACGAGGGGTAGACCTATAAGGTCATAATAAGCCTTATCCTTGAGAACAAAGCGCAGCAACTTGACAATAATTTCATTACGGCTAAGCAAAGACAAGGGTTCTTTGACTTGAAGCTTTTTACCGCGTAAAGTATCACGCACAAGTTTAGGGGTTAAGAGTTTGTTATGATTTGCGTTTGTATCTGGAAAACCATAAACGACTTTAACATTATATTCCCTTAAAAAATCTTCCAGCCAGGAATCACTAGAGTTTTCGATTATCAAGATTGGTTGATTGACATCTTGGGTAGATTTATTATAGTTTTTTGAGAGAGTCATGGTTGGCATGTGTAATTAAAGGAAGGAAAAAAGAAAAAAAAAAAAAAAGGGAAAAATTTCAAGTCGGGAAGTTGAACGTAATTAACTTTAACTCGGTGATTTATATAATACATAGAAAAGTCTATCTCTAATACAACGACCCTCAAATTTCTCCGAAAATGACCGGCATTATAATTAAACAAACCAATCCTAATTCTGGCTTAGCACATTTGATAACAAATATTTCAACAGTTTAAAATGCAATATACGCTAATATATCAAGTCAATAGTTGTTATATCAGTAGCTAACTTTCTTCAAAGCATCTTCGGTAAATTCTCGGTTAAAGGTGGATGGATGTGCCGACTTCTCAACTCGAGAACTCTTAATCTAATATTTTCATAAATAAATGTTAGCATTGTAGATTTCTTTGCTTACAATTTGTGAACTAATTATATTTGTTCAATAAGACCGTTAGCTCCTTTGCCGATTTTCCATTGGATGACTATTTTTCGACGCGTGTAACCTACAAAATTTTCTATACACCTGAAAATGAAAATAAGCTCACATTGAATAACTCACTTCCCTTCACTTTCGATACCCTTAAAAATAAATAAATCATGGAATATAAAGGTGCACCTTCAGAAGGCCAAAGGCAGGCCATGTTAGAAAAACAACGAGCAAGGATGTTAAGTGAATTCGAAAAGCAACGAGAGAAGATTACTAAAGTGAGTAAGTTGGTTTCTTTTTATTTTATTCCAACCTTTTGTATATTAATTTAAATTAATGTAAAATTTTATTTAGAGTTCAATTATAAATTCCATTTGGAATAGTATGATAATTAGAAAATTCGATAATCAATCATATATTAAGAATAAAATGCAAAATATTCATTAACCTATTCTTCCATTATTTATTTAAAAAGGATAACCAAGTTAACATAACGAACAGTAAATTTGTCACGCAATACGAAGACGTTGAAGATTCATTGAAAAAAGAAACGATTGGTCTGGTCAAACTTGAAGATTTCCAGAAAATCAGGAAAGAAATACAAGTTCAAAAAGAACGTGAAGCTGCAAGAACCGCAGAATTAAAGTTAGTTAATTTATTTAAAAAAAAATTTTTTTTTTTTCGGATGAAATAATTATGTTCAAAGTTTATTAACAATAGATTTATTATATTTGAGAAAATCATAGGTATGAAAAGTTTAAGAAAAAGCGTAAGAAAACCGAAAAAGTCAAATTATCATTTGATCTTGAAGAAGGTGAAGAAGATCAAGATGATGTAGAAATTAAAAATTTTAAATTAAAAAAAATAACAAATAATATTGAGGAGGTTGAGAGTATAGAGAACAATGATGGTAGGTAATTGATTCGTAAAAGGTCATGTTTCTGTCAGAAACCTTATTAATTATTAATTATGATGATTATTAAAAAATTATTAGTATCCCCTCAACCATTAAGCAAGAAACCTAAACTTGGTAAAAACCCTAATGTTGATACTTCTTTCCTGCCTGATAGGGATAGAGAAGAAGAGGAAAGGAAAGAACGAGAACAGTTGCGATTAGAATGGCTTCAAAAACAGGAGGAAATCAAAAGTTTGTATCCATTTTTGGTATTTTAACCTTTGTCAGAAGTGTCGTTGATTGTGATTAAATATTAATAATCCAAATAGATGAGAAAATAAGTGTCACTTATTCTTATTGGGATGGTACCGGTCATCGTAAGACCGTCTCTTGTAAGAAGGGTGATTCAATCGCAACGTTTCTGGAAAAATGTAGACAACAATTTCACGAATTACGCGGTGTCAGCGTAGACAATCTAATTTATGTAAAGGAAGATTTAATCATTCCTCATGTAGGTTTATTTTCAACAAGTCAATCTTGTTAAATCCTACAATATTATTAAGATATGAATATTTTTTTTAGCATTATACATTTTATGATTTTATCATCAATAAGGCAAGAGGCAAATCAGGCCCCTTGTTTAGTTTTGATGTACACGATGATGTTCGATTGACACATGATGCTACTGTGGAAAAGGATGAGGCAAGTTAATTTTTTTTTCGCGTTAAATCTTGTGATTCTTTGAATAACCCTCCGATAACTTTTTTTTTCGGTTAAATCTAATCAGTCTCACGCAGGTAAGGTGGTTGAAAGGAATTGGTACGAAAAGAACAAACATATCTTTCCTGCTAGTCGTTGGGAAGTGTATGATCCTGAGAAGAATGTGCGTAATTTTTAAATACAATTCTTTGTAAATGTCCATTGTCTCGATGATTTATTTCTAATATATATTTTTTTTTCGCATCAATAGTACGGGAAATATACGATCAAGGATACAAACAAGAAATTGGGATCATAATTATAACAAAACGAACAAACGAACAATTCAACATTATAATCTAATTTTATATTCCAAGAAGTTAATGTTCGTTCGTATTGTTAAAATTGAAAAAGTTCATGATTTCATGTGAAAGACACTTTTAATTATATCATTCTTTCAAATTATCATAATATTCATTTAGAAATAAAAGAAATGAAGTAATTAAAATTTATTGTGTTTAAAAGATGTCATCAATAAATATAAACATGTTCCCATTTCTGCTTAGCCATGTTATTTATTGATCGATCACGTGGCAAGGATCAATTCTATTTTAGGTAACTAACAATCAAAATTGGGAACTCAATTTACCCGCCACGTTAAAAGAGTTCGTTTTTCAAATCATAAACATGTATTAATAAAATAATTCAATGATATGTTTTTCTAAAAAAAGCATTGTTGTCCCTAATTAATGATTTGTTTTTCTTTGCTTCACATGTTAATGTTATGATGAATTTACTTGCGCCACTTGCAATAAGACTTATCGTGATTGAAATTCAAAATATATAAGGGGAACCTCGTTCATTGAAACAGAAAAACAAAAAAAAAAAAAAAAATTCCCTTTAATAAAAAAAATAAACTTATACACGATTTTTTTTTGTTTTTAAAAAAAAAAAAATGAGTTCATCAAATTCTAAAGAAAAGGGTAACTCTCTCGCTGATTCGATGCCTGCGCATAGACATGGTCATCTTGAAGATATGAAAAATATTGAAGATACCAGCAAATTTGAGAAAGCAATTTACAATTATGTTCCTTTGCTCATCCCTTCACTTCGCTATGTCAATTATTTGAAACGCGTCTTCGAATATTTATTCTATACGTTATTATTTGATGTTACGATGCCATTCGTTAAACCTCTCAATTTTTTTGTCATGTTTATTCTTTTTCCAATTGGCGCACTTATTTTAATTGTTCTCGATATTATCCTTCGCGCCTTCTCCTTCTTGAGTATTGATACATCTGTAAAACCGGTGAGGGATTGGGGTGCTTTGTCGGAAAATAATTATGGTAGGTATCATAAATTTAATTAAAATCATTAAATGATATCCAATATTTCTTTATTAATTTTTAATACTCATGATCTTATGTTTCTATATAATAGATGAGATCGTTCGTAAAGGAGTTTATGAATTGGGAAAACCATTTGAAAGTTACGAGGATGAACAAGATGGTGACGTCAAAATCTTTAAACAGATTAGAAATTTTAACATCGATATGGTGGAAACGCTTTTATTCTTGGCTACCACAGTATATGAAAGGAAGGAGGAATATGTAAACAATGCGATCAATAGAATCCAAAAAATTCAAACTTCAAGCGCAGAAGCGACTCCACAGGATATTAAATATATTAAAGGTCAACTTCTGGAAGCTGAAAAGAACATTGTAAGACAAGCAGAGGATTGGGGATTAGGATTTACTTCCATTTCTGAATTAAATTCTCTCGGTGGACCTTACGCTGGAATGTTTTGGAGTAAAGAAAGAAAATTCATCGTGGTGGCCTTCAAGGGGACCACAGCAGCTTATTTTAGTGAATGGTTAATTGATTTCTTGGTACAAAAGATTGACGCTAGAGCTTATCTTTATGGAAAAGTACATGAAGGTTTTTACACTTCCTTGTTCCCTAAAAACGATAAAGAGTCTTCAAAATATTATAGAAGAAGTCCATCGATGAGATTAATCGAAGCTATACGTAGTAAGGCAGCAGAAATTACAGATTATAATGAACAAGACGGTCCAGTTTCGGTGTGGATTACCGGTCATTCTTTGGGTGGAGGTTTGGCTACACTATTTTATACTCGCTTGTTGAAATCACCAGAAATTTTGGGCAAAAATTGTATGCTTCGTGATGGACTCGCTTTCGCGGCACCAATTGTTGGTGATGACAATTTCGCATCATCCTTTTCTTCCCGATCCAACAAACCATATGAAACTTCTGCAACTTTATGGAGAGTTATAGCAGGAAGTGATATCGTACCTCATGTTGCACCGGCCAACCGTAACCCTAAAATACAACGTTATTTTACAAACGTCGAAGCCATCAATTATGTTCATATAGGAGAAGAAATTACGTTCAATTTTGACGGTTCACGACCATCAGCGACGAGACCCGTCTTGGGAACGGAAGACTATTTTGTTTTTGATAAAATGTCAACTTGGGGCGATTTAAAATTCGCTTTTAAAGGAAGTCAAAAGAAACAACATTTACGAAAACCAGTTAATGTTAATGTGAATAAACCTTTATATGCTTTTGAAAAGCTTTATCCACTTCCTATTCGAAATCATCTACCACATCGTTATTTTATATCTATGGAATTAGCTAGACATTATTTTGAAGAAACTGAACAAAAACTTGAACTTAAAGGTCGAACTTGAACTTATTCATTATATTTTTTTTATTTTAAATCTTATTTTTATGAAATCTTTAATTTTTTTTTTTTTTTTTTAAAACGTATAATGTTCCTCCTCCCTGAATCCTTTTTTTTTTGTGATACTTTAGTTTAATTAATGTTGCTTTTCAACTTTTTATTTGTTTCAAATTATCACTAATAATAAACAAATTAACAAAGAAAAAGAAAAATCCGTAACTTGTATTTGTCGTACAGTACATCAAATGTAAAGTTTTTGGTCGAAATTACAGAACGTTATTATCAGAATTCTTGTTTAACGCAAGGTAAAACCCAATTTTCCCTTTTCAGCAGATGTCGAAGAAAGTTCAACGAGAAAAAGTACATAAATTAAATTAAACCTTGCAAAAACGTGAATCATTGTTGTCCGTGAAGATTGTAAAACAAATGATGATCATTGGGGGTATAATATGTTTTGCATTAGTTAACAACACCAATAATAGACAAGTGGTTGATTTAACTTCCTAAAATTAATATTCCCTTTTTTACTTTTGAACCGAGACAAAGACAGGTTTCATTCTTGATTTAACCTATATTTAATACATCATCATTATTTAATGACGGAAAATTTTTTATCAGATAAAGTAGTCTTATCTGATCATGAAAGTTCAAATGAAACAATTTCAAGTTTAACTTCTTTCGGTAAATAGCTTTAATAGGTAAAAAAAAAAAAAAATTATTATACAATTCATTTTTATCTCTCCTTTAAAAAATATTTGACTACAAATATATCCTTTACGACGGAAATATATTATTCATCCTATCAAATTTCCGTGAGACAGTCGGAAAAATAGAAACTCTTTCTCCTATTTTTTTTTAAAAAGATTACATAACATTTATGGTAGTACAGTCATATCAATTTCTTTAATCGATACCACAAAAGTTTACAATAGGAAATTAGGCAAATTTATTGTGCTTCCAATGCTAAGGCTTTTTTTTTTTTTTTTTACGTTTTCAAAGAACTATATATGTGTGGTTTTTTTTTTTTTTTCATAAAAGATTTTGGTTAAAAATTTTTTTTTTTTTTCATGCTAATTTTATCTTATATACAAAATTGCGTTAGCGCAAGACCATCAACTTTTTTAGGATTAGGATTATATATATAAATGTACCAACTTTACATTAACCTACACATCATCTCTTTTCTCCTCTCTTGAACATACCGCAATTAACGTTCAATTATGTTGCCATTTTTACCGCCAGAGTGCCTTCAGACGATATTTAAATTATTAAAAGATGACAAAAAGTCATTACATTCATGCCTATTTGTGAATAAGTACTGGTGTAGTTGTGTAGTACCCACGTTGTGGAGTCGTCCTTTCGAACTTGTAAGTCGACCGTCAGGTAGACTCATTGAAACGTATACCAATTTTTTCAATGAAAAATCCAAAGAGCTCTTATCATCTCATCATATCATCATTAAACCCACAAGTAAACCGATTGTATTCGATTATCCAAGATTTATTAGGTCCATCCGATATCATAACGTTTATGATTTTAGTTCGGTATGGTTACATGAGGCGGTATGTCGAGGTCAACAAAAACATTCCTCATCATTCGATAGAACCAATATATTAAGAGCATTCTCAAAAGAATTAATCAAATTATTCCTTCATAAAAATTCTGCCGTGGAAGATTTATCATTTAATGTCGTAAGATTTCTCATTGTACCTGATTTATCCGGTAACAGTTTAATTCATAGGTTTGGACCACCCAGGGAACCTTCGTATGTTAAGAGGGCTTTAGAATATTTATCACCATTTGAAGAAGATTTACTTGATATAATTTGGAGTACAAAAACTTTTTTAACCAATTTACAAAAGTTAGAACTTGGTGCCAATAAGAATGATGATAGTATCATGAAAATCCTTAGAAACGTAACCAAAAATCTCGAAACTTTGGAATTTAATTTCTCGTCAGAATTAAGGGATCATAATGATGAAGAAGATCCAGGGATAACGGTCATGATGCAAGATTTAATTGAAGGGCAAAATTGTTTAAAGAAAGTTGGCATAAGTCAAGGTTCTCATCATATCCCGGGATTAATTAAAGCGTTAAAGTGTCACGTTAACACTTTAACGGAAATATCATTTGAAAAAATTAATTTCGATTCCATCACTTCGGCGCAAGAGACATTTGAAATGATCTCTTCATGTTACAACTTGGAAAAATTAGTGATATCGGATTGTCAAGGATTAACCAATGACGTGATCGCATCCCTTAACACCGCGATATTCGTTAATTTGAAAACCTTAATATTTACAAAATTTCATAATCCAATCGATGATATCTTCAGAGCCTTCATAACGGGAATGCCTCAAACGGTTAATGCTGATCAAGAAACGATGGAACCTTTAGCAAACTTGATCTCGGGTACGAATGAAAGTTTACAAATTTTACGTTTTGGAAGAAGTTCACTTTATGGTAGGGAATTACCATATGATTTTGGCTGGGGTACGAATTTTCCACCCGAGAAAATCATGGATGTAATATCGTTATCATGTCCCAATTTAACTTTATTCGAGATTCATATAAGGAGGAAAATACTTCCTCAAGTATTGAATCTCCTGAAGTCTACCAATCAATTAAGTAGGTTTATCTTCTCTGCGGAATTGGATTTGGTCGACGAAGAAGATTTTTGGAGGGATTTATCAATGCATATCCCCGTTAGTTTGCAAGATTTAACGATTAGTATCGGTCCAGTATTTTGGTTGGTGGTGTTACATTGGTTATTCGAAAATGTGAATTGTAATTTAGAAATCTTACAATTCCCTATATCAACTTTTATCGATGATGAATATCTTTGCATCATCGCTCAATATGCCAAAAGGATGGGTACCATGAAACGGTTGGCTTTATCTACCGGTACCAAGATTACCCCAAAAGGACTTTCTAATGCTCTTCGTGTAATTGAAGATATTACAAACATTGGTGAATTTGACAAGTAACATTCACAGAATCATTATAATCATTATCGCGTTAAATTAAATCGCAAGAGGTTACTGAAGGGTACAATGGTGGAATTCCTTATTGTAAAGCGCAATTTGTTTCTTCACCAGGAATTTTTACTAGTACCTAGGAAATTGACATGTATTTAACAGGTGGTGAGAAGTTTAAATATTGAGAAGGCATTCCTTATAGGAGAAAATTGAAACCGATAGGAATTTATAAAAAAATTTCGAAATCATTTAAATCTCATGCGGGTGGTGGTAGTTTCAAAAAAAAAAAAATTTATTGTTTCATTACATCAACATTTTTTCTTTGTTCACGGTTATTGTATTACTTTTAAATTATTGCTAAATAATTAAAGTTTTTATTTGTGAAAGTTCCGAGAATTCAAATATTGAATGATTGGATTACGGATAATACTTGATCCGAAGATTGATCAAATTAGGAAAACGGGAGGTATCTTTGCATCAAATTAATGCGGGTAAAAAACATTTAATACACCCTATTATTATTTGTCCATCACCAATCGAAATGCGTATTACATCTGGCAGGATTGGAAATATAATGTGGTCATATGATCCGTCTTTTATGATAACATGTGTGAGGAACATGCGATTCACCAATGATTAGCATTCGTAGATTTTTTGTATTCACATTTTTTTTCCTCAAAGTCTAAACAAATATGTTTTTTTATTTCTTTATTCATTCTTCATTCATTTTATCGATCTCTTGATTTTATCTTTTTTATCATCATTTTTTTTTTTTTTCCTTTTTTAAAAAGGGAAAAAAAAAAAAAAAAAAAAAGAGGAGATATATATAAATATATAAATAAGAGAGAAGAAAAAATTAAAAATAAAGAGACAACCTTCATTTTTAACTTAATTTTTTTTTCTTTAATACAATCAATGAGCGCTAACAGCGACAATTCCAATCATCACCGTTCGGTGTTAATCCCAACCGAAATTCTTTCGCAAATATTCTCATGTTTACAAAAAGATTACGTATCACTATATAATTGTTTGTTAGTAAATAAATTTTGGCATATTAATACCCTTGAAGTGTTATATTCTAAACCATTTCACCTGCTGCAATCCAATTCACATCCTTCACGAATAAATAATGATCAAACGAACCTTTCAAATACGTTACAGAATTATTTGACAAGGTCTTCAAAGAATGATAACGTTACGATCGAGGACAGGATTGTCAAATTAATCGATCTGTACATTAAATGTTTACGATACAAGAATGATTTTAAAGAGATTGAGGTTCGATTAAATGAGAATGGGATCTTTTACATTTACAAGAATCAAGATTTTAAGAATCTCATGAAGATCGAGACAAACCTATTATTTGATTACTCGTCATACTTGAAATATCTAAGATATGATGATCTGTACAATTTCATTTCCATTTATCTGAGTTCCTTTTCAAATGGTGCCTCCTTCGTCAATAACGTTAGGAAATCATTGTTCACGTATAATCCCTATAGCATAATAACGAAAAGGACGATAGTTATGGAGTTGTTTAAAATCTTTTTAAAACAACAACAAAATTTAATTGAATTATCCATAAGTACGAACTTTATTAATGACTTTAGAAAATTCGAGATAAATCATTTTAATGGCATCGATCAAGATTTATTGGACATCTTTAAAGATCAAACCTTACCCCTCGAAAAGAAGGGTCGAAAGGGTAACAATATAAACACCCTGATCTGTGGTGGAATCAAATTTGATGAAATCTTGAAGCTGTTACAAAATAATTTAAGGTTGACATCCATCAAAAACTTTATCATAGATTTTAATTTACCCCCTCATAGTAACGACTTTAATTTCGGTCATCATAAATATCAGATTTCTTCAGAGAAAATCATAGATTTCTTGTCGTTGCAAAAGAAATTAAAAAAGTTATGCGTCGTGGGAAGGTATTGTGAGTTATATAATATATTTTATAAATTATCCGATGAGAATATTTTAGAACAATTGACTTGTCTGGAATTTTATGGGATCATATTTCATAATAATTTGTCGGGTAATCAATCTCTCATGACCGGAATCATTCAATGCGCAAATTTACAAGAGCTGGTATTTGAGGATTGTGTTAACCTGACCAATGACATCGTATATCAACTACGTAATTCTCGATTCACATCTCTGAAAAAGTTCACCCTTAGGAATTGTTCGGGGAAAAATATCAATTCATTATCATCTCACAATTCCATAGCGACCCTAATAAGGAACGCTTGTGGAGGTCTCGAAGAGGTTAGGTTTGGAAGGAAGTTGAAATGGTTCATTAGAAAGATTTATGACGTGGGCAATATCGTCTTGGATGAGATGACCAATTGTGAGAAATTGAAGGTGGTGGAATGTTGCGTGTTGATTGAAATCGTTGAAGATTTCTTTGAGGTGCTTAAGATGTGCAAGAATTTGGTAAAGGTAAACGTATCGGTGGATTACGAATTAAGTGATAATGAATCATTTTGGAAACGGTTTGGGAGTGCTTTAAGCGAGAATCGTACCGCGTTAAATGAATTATCGATTTGCATAGGGGGAACCGGGGGGAATGGTTGTGAGAATGAATTGTGGATAGAGATGTTTGAATGGTTTTTCGGTTCATGTGACATTCATATTGAGATATTGAAATTTCCAATGTGTTATTCCATTAATGAAAATTATCTAAAAATTATTGGAAGGTATGCTAAAAGGGTCGGGGAAGTGAAGAAGGTAATGTTATGCGAGGGCGTCATAAGGAGGAAATATGATTGCACCTTGATGATTGAAGGCATTCAATGCGTACGCGTGTGTCGCGATGATGTCGAATTTGATGATGATGATTTGGTAAGGAGGGGGAGCAGGTTTCGTAACGGCATACAATAAAATTCTTTTTTTCCCGTGATTTTGAAAAGCGTTGGCTTTTTTTTTTCGTATTTGATTTATTTTATTATTTTTTTTTTTTTTTTTTTTTGCGGAAACTCGTTTTTCATCATTTGGGGTAAAACCTCGTAAATTTTTATGAATAATTTGTTGTCATTAAAAAATTTTGTTGCATATCAGCCAATTAACTAACAGGATTTGGTTAGGATGAGGCAAGATGACATTTTTGGGTTGTATAACGTTGATTTTGGGTTGTAAATCGGAATTAAATGAAATCATATGCATTTAATTTCCTTTATATAAAAAAAAATTTTTTTTTTTTTTTTTTTTTTCCACATACAATTTTCAAATTAATAAAAATTTTATATATACATGTAAATATTTTATTCGGGGGGAAAAAGATTTTTTTCTTTTTGTTTTTGGTTATGATCATTTATTTACACAAAAAAAATGTACGATACCATTTATAATGCGATACATCATTTCGTTAAGTTTTTCATTGAAGAATTTACAAAAGAGCTCATTGGAACTTTATTCTCCATAAAATTTCCCATTAATTTATTCAAGTGAGTATCAATTGAAATTTTGATTCTTTTATATTTTGTCGTAATGTTTTCAAGGCTAAAATTCAAAGAAAAAAAAGAATAATAACTAATGATGATAATAATAAGCATATTTTCTCTTTCTTTAAATAGATTTATCATTTGGATATCAATCTACTTATTACTCGTTTTTATAATATTCCTCATAAACATACATGGAAAAATCTTAACCCGCATCGTATCTAAATTAAACACGTACCCAATCATCCACCAGATTACGCTCTTAAGGTGTAGCACGCTTGGTGATATTGGGATTCCAAAGAATGTTAGGGTGGTGGAGGTAGATTTTACCTCGGTTAAAACCCATACCGAATTATACAAAGTTGTTCAGGTGCTAAAAAGTAACTGGATCTGGACTGTGTTATTATGCGTTCCGATTGTCAGGGTTGTGATTCCAATTCCTTACAAGTGTGAAAGTTTGAAAATTGAGAATTTGAAGAGAAATGAGAATTGGAAGGATGAATTTACCGGTAAACGAAGGGTTATAATCTCTAGTGAATTGTTGCGTCGAATAAAACCGGTGTATCTATTATTTTATAAAAAGCAACCGATAGGAAGAGATCAATATGTGATTCCAAGTAACGTTTTAAAAAATGAACGATTTATAGATAGAAAAAATAATGGTCAAGAAAAAGAACTTTCTCATCAATTACCATCACCGCCACCATCACATCATCATCGTCATCAGCGAAATCAAGAAGGCATTAGTTATGAATATTTTAATTTATTATTTTTGATCGGTATGGCATTATATGGAATGTTCATTATAAAAAGTTCGATCATTTTATATTACTTCATGTCGTATGTTTATACGTCGTTGTTGGAATGGTCCATCCTTTAATGATAAATTTATGAACCTTGTGTTAAAAGATTTTGTAAATAATAAAAAAACATTTTTTTTTTTTTTTTTTGATTATTAAACATAACATCACTCTCATAACACATAATTCTCGTCTTTAGGGTCTAATGTTTTTAATGTTTTTAATCGCTTACATCTGAATCATTAAGGAATTTTCTTTTCTTGCGACGTGGTACAAAATTTGGGTAATTTCGGCAATTTTTCATTTTTAATGTGAAATAAGAATTGCGGTTTACATGGATATTTTGGGCGTCCATTCTATGAATGATTATTTTATGTAGTTACATGCACCTTCCTTTCTAAGTCGAATCATTTTTATTGAAGATTACGATTTTCGAATTATTTATTGAACTCGCCGAACGAGCTCCCGGGAAATTTACTCCCATTTTTTCAGAAAATACGAAAGCTGTCCATTCGACTTTTGGCAAAATCCGTTACTTTTATTAATTCAACGATCTAAACTTATAGTGATTTTGAATTCATCTACAAATTTATATCTTTTAAATAATGAGGTAATTATTATCGTAAGGCTGAAAACATCTAAAATCACCACTTACTTGTCCCACAATTGTTTTATTTTGGTAAATTAAAAATATATAAGTAAACAATATACATATATATATATATATATATATAATATAATATAAATAATTGTAATAATATAATCTATGTGAAAATAATTTGATTGATAGTTTTTTTTTAAATTTTTATACTGTACATATATATAAAAAGGAAAAGTATTATTTATAAAACATTCAAATAATATAATGTATTTTAATTTTATACAAAAAGAAATTATACAAATTTTTTTAAAAATAAATTTACAAGATATATTCTTCTAAATTTCGTCGACCCTTCTCAAAGAATAATAATTATAGTATTGACCTGAACTAGTTCTGGAACTCGTATCACTCTCATTACCATTTCTGATATATTCCAATTTTGTTCTTTGACTTTGGGCAAATGCATTATTAGGATCAATATTTAATACCGCGTCTAAATCAACTAAAGCATGATCATAAAGTTCCATACTATAATAAACACAACTCCTTTCGCATAATCCAAAAATATTTTTAGGATTTCTCATCAAAGCTTTATTAAGATCATGCAATGCTTCATTAAATTTACCAATAATTCTATAAGTACTCCCACGATTTAATAAAGCTTTGTTCTCATACTTGATATTATACGCTTTATCTTTAGCGTTAATTAGACTCCTGGACAAATCTTCTAATGCCTTTACGTAATATCCCAAAGATCGGTATATAGCACCACGAAGTGAAAGAGGATAACACCAAGTCGGTTGTATATCCAACACTTTATTAATATCAATTAAAGCCTCATCATGTCTCTCCAAAGCGTAAAAAGCTTCACCTCTATAACATAAGGCCCAGGTATTTTCCGGCTCAAGTGATAAAAGTTTATTTAAATCCAATAAAGCTTGCTCATAATTTCCAAGGGTATTAAACAAAGCACCACGATTCTCCAGAGCAAAAGAATAATTATGACATAACTGTAATGCCTTGTCCAAATCCATTTGAGATTCACAATATCTACCCAACATGTAATAGACTGCACCACGATTTGCCAAAGCGAAGATACTATTAGGTTTTAATTGTAAAGCGTAATCTAAATCACGCAATGCTTCTTCATATCTACGAAATGTCCTATTTAACGCACCCCTACTCTCGCGTGCGAGAAGGTTATCAGGTGAAATAGAGATCGCTTGATCCAAATCAACAATGGCATTTTGACCTTGCCTCAACATGCGAAAAACTTCCCCACGACTTGTAAGAGCGAAAGCGTTACAAGGTTCCAATTTAAGAGATTTATTAAAGTCATCCAAAGATTTTTCAAAGCATTGAACCAACCGATACACCTCTCCCCTACCTCTCAGCAAGAAAGGATCATTAGGACTCAAGCTTAAAGCATGATCTAGATCGTTGATGGCGGCTTGATAATTTCCAAGTAAACGATGTATTTCACTTCTATGCTTAAGTATCGAAAGATTACCTTTATCTAATTTCAAGGCTTCATCAAAATTATAAAGTGCTTCATTTAAATTTCCGAGGGACTGATAAATTTCACCACGATTTTCATGACCACATACTGATTTAGGATTTAACTTTAGTATCTCATCAAAATCCCTCAATGCTTCTACGTACCTACAGATATGTTTAAATAGCAAACCCCTTCTTTCCAAGGCCAACATGTTATTTTCTTCCCTTTCCAACGCGCTATTCAAATCAGCGAATGCCATATCGATCCTACCGATTAATCGATAAACTTCACCTCGATTCGCCAAAGTAGTAGAGGCATTTTGTGGGTCATAAATCAATACATTATCCAAATCCAACAAAGCTTCAGCGAATTTGTTTAATTTACAGTACACTTTTGATCGACAAGTTAACGTATAAGGGTTGTATGGTTCCAAATCCAAGGCAGAATTTAAATCATAGATAGCTTCGGGATACTTTAATAAAGAACAATTGACATCAGCTCTCGTTCTAAACGCGAAGGCGGTTTGTTGTAATTTCAAGGATTTTGATAAATCTATCATTGCCAAATCATACTTTTTTATAAAGTGATATAATTCACCCCTTAAAGCGTAAGCTCTAGATTTTTGTGGAAATCGTTGTATCGCAATGTTTAAATCTTGTAAAGCCGGAACCCATTTTTCCAATTGACGATACGCGTACGCTCGATCACATCTTGCCGAATATGAATTGGATTTGTCCAACACTCTTGTGAAATATATTATTGATTCATGAAATTGATTTTGTTCTAATAATTGAGCCGCTTTTGTAAGTTGTGGATCGTTTTTCTTTGATTTGGTGAAGAATTTCTTTATTTTCCCTTGTGAAGCAACTTGCGGATTTATCGTATTATTTGAGGAAGTTGAATTGGACTTTGTAATAGAAGAATTAAAAGAAGCAGTGTGTTCGTTATAAGAATCAGCGGAAACGGAAGTGACGGTTGTCTTGGTACTGGTAGTATTATTCGATGAGCTACTGCTATTTTGATGTCCACAGCCATAAGAGGTAAATTTGCTTAAAGTCGTTAATCTACGAGGTGTTACGGGAACTTGATTGGTCGTAGAATTAATATACGGGTTTTCAGAAGAAGATTGAACCGAACTAGAGCTTTTATTAATATTATTATTTATTAATAGAGGTGGGGTTAACAAGGTCGGTGATGTTGTTGTTGTTGTTGTTGTTATCATCGTCATTGATGTTGTTGATGTCATTGATGTTGAAGTTATGGTTGGTATGGTGATAGCTGGTACGGGTGGGATAAACGATGGTGGTGGCGGTGAGGATGATGATGGTAACGAGGATGTTGAGATCGAGGTATCGAAAGGTTGTGATGTTTGATTATTAGATTCGGATGCCCGACGTGGTCGGGTCAATATTGCTAAATTGATGGCATCATATTTGTTATACTTTGAGATATCAACGCAACAACATAGAATTTTGTCAGACATGTTTTGTTGAAAAAAAAAATAAATAAATGAACAAAAGGCATATATTTATAACTTACTTCATAGTTTTTCGAAACTGAAGTCGTATGTCTTCTAAATTGTTTTATTTGTCGATCCATATTGAGCAGTACGTGAAACGACTATAGCGACTATGAAGGAATATTTGATAGTAAAATTTTAAAAATTCATTTAAACAAGAAGGCTTTTTTTTTTTTTAATTTTAATTTTAATTTATTTATTATTAGGGAATAGCTAATGCAAAAATTAATTATTTTATCAGAGAAAATAAAAATAAAATAAAATAAATAGTAAACGCCTTGGTTTAGAAATTTTCTCTGGAAAAAAAAAAATGTAATTTATATATTGTTAAAATTAAAGCTTTTTTGCTTGAACGGAGAAAGTATACCGCCTAATTTAAAAATTTATAGTCAGGGTTCAAACTATACGAAGTGTGATCGACTTTTAACAGTTACTGTGCTTAACAAGTTTGGTAAGGTGCGTAAAAATTCGGTAATATTTAAAAAAAAAGATCCACGTCCTTTTAATTCGTTGGTTGTGAATTTTAAAAAGGGGTCGGAAGTTGACAATCGGTAAACTCGTAGGTTACTCGGAGATAAAATATTACCATTTTATGACCTATTCTTCCATTATTTGTAAATCTGATTCTATCTTGGTAATATTAAAAGTGATAAAGCATGCAAACATACAAGTGGCCCATTGCCTGAATGCGCGCAAAACTTTTTCCCCTCTTTGTTTGTTGGATTTTTTACGTGATAAAGATCAACAGAAAACGTGTATAAATTGTGCGGTTTTTTCGTGATGTATAAAGTGCATATGATATAAGAAACCGTTGAAAAGTATGATGCGTTATACAATCATTATCAAAACCTTAATGCATTCGACAATAAATTCATTTATATAATGTATGACAATTTTATTGAATATTTCCCGTTAAGTAATTGAATTGCCAAATTTCGTTAGCGTTAGGCTTAATTAGCCATCAAGTGTGAAAATTCAAATGTAAACTCTACAGCTAAATAGTATGATTTTCGAAGATAAGCCCAAGTCAAATTGAAATTATAAAGTCTAGTTAAAGAAACATCTATGTAAATCGTCGTTGGTGAACCAATGACTTGGAAACTAGCCTATATAAGTCCTCGATCAACGAGGAAAATATTTTTCTCGGGGATTTTCGTAAGCTACTTTGCTCAATTTCAAAGGTCAGAGAGAATTGAACCTCCCTTAACTTTTCGATATAAAAAAGTAAGTTTAACATAAAGCTGGAATAGATTATAAGTCATCATATTATTTTATTAATTTGGTTAAACAATATTTTAACGGACTAGTACAATATTATTTTTGTTAATTTTAAGTTATGAATTATGACACCAGCATTTGAAAATTCTTTTAGAAGGAACTGATGAAGATCTCATTTTGTACAAAGAAACCTCATCATAAATATCATCAAAAAAATTACTTTTTGCTATCCTTTACAAGTGTTGTATCTAATAAATTATTCAAAGTTTTCATTATTTGTTGTATTTCCATTAAAAATTGTCATTATTTTATAAACTTCATATTTTTAAACAAGGATCAAAATATGAAGCAAAAAAGCCCATTTGCAAAATATTTTGCCAACGGGTTGTTATATGTTGCTCAATACAATCACTCGCTTGAATTACAATTGGTGCTACTTATTAGCATGAGTCTTAAAATTAATAAGATGGTTTTTAAGTTTGATTTGCTGGGTACATCATACTTAGTGTTAAATATTTATTTTCACCAATAATTGAACAAAGGGTTTTAATAAATTTAATAAATGTCTTAGACTATTCTAGTTAGAACGTCTTAGGCTGTTCTGTTTAAGATAATTGTCCCACTAATTACTAATTATTCAAAATTACAATAAATATATTCTAAAAATGTCTCAGATATCATAAAGTCTTTTTCCAAAGACTTAAACTGTCTCAGATTATCATATCCAAGGATATATCCTATCTTAGTCATAATACTGTTTGCAATATAAATTTGATTATAACGTTCATAAAGATAAACAATTTCAAAAAAAGCAGATGAAACATTAGATATCAAAGATTTTATTTTTTTAATATTCTAATTAAAATCCAAATAAAATATCTAAAATTTATTTATTTATTAAAAAGAAAATGTGACTAATGCTAATACTAATAGTAATGCTATCATTATTATCACCAATACTAATGCTAGCATTAATGCTAAAGCCAGTGTCAGTGTCAATACCAACACTAATGTTAATATTAATGCTAAAGCTAATGCCAATGCTAATACTAAAGCCAATGTCACTAAAGCCAATGTCAATGCCAATACCAGCACTAATGTTAATATTAATGCTAAAGCTAGTGTCAATGCTAATACTAAAGCCAATGTCAATGCCAAAGTCAGCTAATGTTAGTATTAAAGCTAAAGCTAATGTTAGCGCTAAAGCTAATGCTAATGCTAATACTTATTTTAATGCCAATATCATTGTCATCTCTAATATTAGTAAAAAGCAAAGCTTTCAAAGAATTATTTAGATAATTTTTAAATTTTTATTTTTAATACATAATAATAAAAATTCTTAAATTTAATTTTATGCTAATTAATATTAAAATAAAAAGAAAATGAAAGTGAAGTCAGTATTAATGATGAAGCTAATGAAATTAGCATCACTTTCAGTATTATCTTCAATCTTAACATAAAATTTAATTTATCTTATAATAAAAATTTAGGTAAATTGAAATTCTTATTAATCTATTATATAAATAATAATTTTTATATTAACTTTATATTAACAAATATTAAAGAAAAAGAAAATGAAGATTCAATTAATAAAAATAAAAAAGGTAAGAAATTTATCTTTTTTTTTTTTTTTTTTTTTTACAAATTTATAATACTCATTTTTATTTATTTTAATTAATTTATATCAAAAAAAAAAAAAAATATTATAGAAAAGAATATAAAGTGCATAAAGGAAAAAATTTAAAAAATATTGATTTTTTAAATTTTTGTTAATTTCTATTTTTTTTTTAATTTTTATTATATTAATAAAATTTAATCGTTTAATTAAAATATTATAAAATATATATTTTATCTGTGATTTTGTATCTGTTAAAACATTATAAAATATACATTTTTTTCATGATTTTTTATCTGTTAAAACATTATAAAATATACGTTTTATCTGTGATTTTGCATTTATTAAAGCATTATAAAATATACATTTTATCTGTGATTTTTACATCCATTAAAGTATTATAAAATATACATTTTTTTCTTATTTTTATATCTGTTAAAGCATTATAAAATATATATTTTTTTCTTATTTATTGTATACATTTTTTCTCACTTTTTCATATTAAGTTTAAGGTTTTTATCTAAGGAAAAAACGTATATATTATACTAAAATTTTATAAAAATTATGTTATAAAATTTAATATTTTTATGAAATTTTATATCAAATTTTTATTGAAATATAACATTAAATATTTCTAAACTTTGTTTAATTTGTGAAATTAAGATGTTTATTAGTATTTAAAAGATCTATAGAATTATGTAAATCTTTTGTATTTTCAGAATTTTTAGTATTTTCAGGATTCTATATTAAAAAATCATTATATTACATTATTCATGTAACTTCATTATTATTAATTAATTATTCTATTAATAATATATAGCAAATACTAAAATTGAAAAAAAAGAAAATAGCTATTACTTTTATGTTAGTTCTAGTTTTAAATTTCTATTTATTTCATTTGAAATTCCTTTAAGATATGATTTTATAATTCTAAAATAACATATACTATTTAAATTTTAATGAATGTATTAATATAAATAATTCTAATAATTCATTTATATCTTTAATTATAATTTTATCTAATTGTCTAATTATCTTTTTTTGAAGTTATTGTAAATAAGAATTATATAATTAATATTGTAAATCTGAAATTAGACTAGACAAATAACAAATAGAAAGAAAGCAGAATAAAATTAGAAAATAAAATATAAAAATCATATAAATTAATTACAGAAAAAAAATCAAAAATATAACTACTAACTTTTTCATACATATCATATAAGTTTTTTAAAATTTTAACTGATTTTTTTTGATGTATTATTTAGTGAAATTTTTTAAAAAAAAATTAATAAATTTAAACAATAAGAGAAAATAATATAATAAACTATTAAAATAACTTAATAATAATATTACTAAATATAACATTTATTCTTTTACTTATTGTAAACAAATATTAAAATAAGAAAATAGCATAGTTACTTAAATAATAGTAAGTATATCTTAAAATTTACAGCTTTTTTAACATTTTAATACTTTATTTACTTTTTATATAAGCAGTTATACCAATGATCATGAATATAAATAAATAGCTAAAGTTGATTTAACCAAAAGATTATTAAAAGAAAAATATATAAAATTTAATTGTAATTAATAATATTAACTTCAAAGAAAAAACTTTTACATATAATATTTTGATATTACATAAGAAAGTTCTTATATAATCATTTTAAATAAATGCTGATTTCTTTAAAAGAAAAAATGTGTAATAAAAAAGTTACTTTTTTATCAAATATATGTAATATATTTGATAAAATAATTGATGATTTTTTGACTTTTCAAATTAATACGAAATCAAATTATCTATAATATTAATTTTATTAAGATATTAATTCATTAAAAAATTCTTGAAAATATTGATTTATGATTATTTGGTTGATACATCCAATATAATTATTTTAGAAATTAGAGAATTTTAAATTCAGATAAAGAAATATTTTAATCAATAGAAATATATAAATAAGATTTTAAATTATAACTATATGACTATTTAGATAATATAACTAATAAAATAATCTTTAGAAAAATTATTAAATAATAAAAAATAATGGTTAACTTTGCATCTTATTTTTGATTAATAGTATACTTCAAAAGATATATATAAGATCTTAATTTTGCTATTTTTAAACTACAG